TGTTCGTTACTGTGAGCACCTGGCCTTTTTTATTGGGTTGCGTAACCCTTGCCTCCAGAAAGCCGCGGTATGTGGGACGTCATGCTTAATCGCCTCTATTTAGACATTTAACGGTTCCTGTGTCGCCCAAGGCCGTTTTAAAGGCTTCCTCCAGCTCTGCTTTCCTTTCTGCATCTAGTCCTGCTATTTCGACTAGGGCGTCGCTACCTCTCGTTTTCCTGATGCTTTTGATTGTGGCGCCATATTCTTCCGGCTTAACGTTTTCTCTTGCCGCCTGTAGCACCTCGACAAAGGATTTTCCCTCTGTAGGCTTAAGGGTAATGGCCTCGTTTCTGGCCTTCTGTATGCCCTTGCTCTTTTTTCCCTTCTTTTTCTTCTTCTTTGGTGGCACCGTATGCCACTGCCCGGCTTCCGTAGCTGTTCTGAGAGGGCCGGGAGCCCCCTAGGCATCGATGGAGGCCCCACTAACTTCCGTCGCCTGCCTCCCTTGTGCCTCCGTCGTCTTTCGTTTCGGCTTCCTCTCTACCACAAGGTAAAATCGGTTCCCTCCGGCGGTCTCTTGGCCGGCGTGAGTTCCGAGCTTATACTCGTAGTTTCCCGTTTACGTTTCGTCTGTGTAGGGGTCTCACATTCCACGCCTTTGTTTCCGCCTGCCATCCCGAGCACATGCATTCTGTCGCATTCATGCCATGCCTCATCCGTGGCTTCTCTGATTTTGGCAATGTTGGTAGTGATCACGTTGCTGATGTTCTTCTGCACGCGCATTTTTTCCTCCATTTTCGCCAGGCATTCTCGTATCAGTTGTAACTGCTCCCTAATCCTAGTTTCGGCCGTCTCCGCTCCGGCCTGGGTCAATACAGACTTCTGTCTTGCACGTATATCCATGGTTTCTTTTCGTGCTATGGTTGGGGTCCCCGTGTTTTGTGATGCGTTTATACTGTTTCCTGTGTTTTGTATTTTCATTTTGTAATACGTTATCTCTCCTACCTCTTTTGTGTGTGTGTGTGTGTGTGTGTGTATGGTATTGGGATGGGGTACTAGAACCTCCCCGTTGCCTTGCCTCCGCCACAAACCGTTGCGCCGCGGATACCAGTGGCCTCACCAAGGCACCCCCGCTACTGCTGCATGGCCCCATCAGGGCGCCACCCTGCACTACAACAGTATGGGGATTTTTCGCTGGCTGATAGGGCAGCTAGGTCCACCTGACTCGGGGACCCGGGCCCCTGTACTATCCAGCGGCCCAGGAGCATCCAGCCTGGTTTTCTCGGGGTACCCTCTAGTGACCCGCCACGCAGCCGTCCGCCACGGAGGACGACGGGAGTATTCTAGTGTTATCACCCGGTGTTAACCCTTTCGCTACGGACGAATTCTACGGCGCGCTACTCCCGCGGGACGGGCCGCTGCGCCACAAGTGTGCACTTGCGGAAGAAGTGAAGTCGCCTGCCGAAACGATTCTTTTATACTGATGTTCATATTGCCAGTTAAAAATCTTAGAGTGTAAAACAAATGCTTAAAAATTGCGATAGGTTACCATGGAAATACATATAAGAATTATTCGTGCAAACGCACGAGTAACTATACTGACCGCCTGTATGTAGTGAGCATCAGACTTTGGGTGACTATAGTCACCGCCCGTACGTAGCGAACGTCAGGCGTTTGGTGATTATAGTCACCGCCCGTAGCGAAAGGGTTAAGTGATGTTTGTGTAATTGTTTGTGTATAGTGTATGTGTGTGCTTGTGTAGTCTGGTTTTGGTCCACCCCGAACGTATCGGTACCATCCATATCTGGAAGGCGTCCCCCTATCCGCCACCTGGGGAGGCGCCCGATACGGGTCCAGTAACCCAATACGGGAATAATAATAATAATAATAATAATAATAATAATAATAATAATAATAAAATAATGGATTTGTTGTCATTAAGGATATGATTATCGTTATAAAAATATTTTTATTAAATTTATTTCAAGTATTTGAATCATCGAAATTCTGATCAATTGAACATTAGATTCTATAGAAGAGATAATGTAATTTCAAATGCAGACATTTTTGCATTCAGATAAAAATAAATAAAAGAAGCAAGAAATATAGAAAGAAAAAAAGGATTCTACATCAGTCAGTTAAATCTGGTAAGCTAAGAAAGAGGACAAGAAAGATCTCGTATGAGTGTTCATAGAGACATACTACATTGATCCTATAAAAAGTGTCATTCTATATCGATGCCATAAAAGATGCATGAATGTTTATCTTTCTTCGATATGTCTCTCACTCGGGATAAGGATTCCGTTGGTATTGTCTTGACTATCTTTTCGCGAAATATTTTCATTACTTTTCTTTTATTTTTTTAAAATTCATTTTCGAATAACGTTTTTTTGCGAAGTTAGAAGATCCTTTAGAAGTTTAATAAAGAAACAAGAAAAAAAAATGAAAGAGGATAAGCTTGTAAAGCAAGTAAATACTTATCACGTTATTCATTTAATAGTTGTTTTAATTCTCCGTCTTTTTATTTTTCATAAAGTACCCTCTCAACAACTCGCGTTTTCAAGTTCTTTATTTCAGGACACTTTTCTTTCCTTCATTGTATGTAGCGAACTTTCGATTCTTTTTCTACTTTTCTCTCACCGCACTCACTAACATCCTTTCCTTTTTTTTTCTTCTTTTACTTCTGCTTCCAAAACGTAACAATAATTTTTGGTATTGTTACTTTTTCTTCGTATGTGGTAGTAATGTAACTATAGCCTTGAGACATTTTTCTCAACTTTTTTCTTTTATATTTTTCTTTCTTTCTTTTCCATGACAATGTCATCAGACTTTAATCTACCCTTGAAGTGTCCAGTTTTGTTCTTAAGACAATTTTGTCGTACGTAAGAACAGATGATACGCGTACAATACGAAAGAAGATGGTATTTTTTAACGTTCAATTAGTTTCTTTTGTTCTATTTTTTATTTTGTCAATTAGTTTCGTTTAATTTGTTTTATTATTTAATAGGTAAGATTATGTGGAAAGTTCTAAAGAAATAATTTTCTGTTAGAACATATTTTTTTATTCTAAAATTATTATCATAGTGGAAAATTATTTGAGATTATTATTATTATTATGAGTTGCGAAGATTTATTGAACAATTTTTAACCCTTTAAGTGATACGGACGCATATATGCGTTTGGTACAAATTCCCAGCGTTAATTATTGATGCATCTACATGTTTGTCAATATAAATGCAAATAATGTAATGTTGTTTGCGTATTGATTATTATTTTAAATCTTGTTACATCAAAATTATGTATATAAGAAAAAAACTTTAATTTATTATTAGATGTAGTTAAAATCAATCAACAAAGCAAACAAACTAGCAATAAAGTATTCCGTTCCTATTAAACACTTCACTTAAAAGTATTCAGCACTCAAAGGGTTAATAAAGAGTTTGTAAGTCAGTACGATATTTATTGTAGTAAGTTAAAAACGATAAAAATAATTTTATAGCAAATCAATACGATTCGTATGACCGGTTACGTATACATTTCAAACGATGATGTCATTTTTGTCACGAAGATGGCTGAAATTCTCAAAAAGACATTTTTTCTAACCAGAAGCCAACCGCAGGAATTTTGAATACGTGAGAATATTCCTTTAGTACAAATTGGCATGGTTCCATATAGTTTCGAATGAAATCCCCAAAACTTCACTAAACATTTCAGTAGAGACATTAAAAATTGTCGAAAGATAGGTTGGACGTTTGGAGCTTTGAAAATCATCAAACAGTTTAGCGAATTTAAATTCACTTAAAATAGGAAAACAATTTCTATGCTTAAAGTTTAATGTAAATGGATTACAAAAACGATTTAACAATTAATATATGGAAATTGAATGTTTTCTAGATGTCTGTAAGAAATTGTCAGTTAAAAAGAAAACAAAAAATACAATACAAAGTAGTATAGTTTAATATAAATAATATAAATATAAATATAAATATAATTTTAATATAATTACAAAAATATAATTTAAAAATATAATTAATTTAATATAAATAAAATTATTTTCTAATAAAAATATTGCTTCAACGTTTATTTCTTAAATACGACCTGATTTAATTTCATTTTAATATTTCAATTTAATAATTTCGAATTTGATTGCTATTCACTGCAACCCTTAATATGCTTAAATAGAAAAAATAAAAATAGCAAATTCTCAGTACTTTTTTAACTTTGCCCTAAAGTCTCTTTCTTTCCTTTCATTTGTTACCTACTTTTTGATTTTAGCAGAAAGTAACATATACACCTATCTACTTAGTTTAGAAAAAAAGAAAAAAAAAGAGTGTTCTCATCTTTCGTAAATGTTTGACGAAAACAAAAATAAAGAAAAAGAGTAAGTAAAAAGTACAAGAAAAAGTAAAAAGAAAAAACATCGATCAAAATGTTGGTGACCTTGAAAAATAATAATAATAATAAAAAAACAAAGAGAAACATAAAATAGTAAAAAGAAAAACAAGAAGAAAAAACAAAATGAAAGACGATGATGATAATAGTAAGTAGTTTTCTGGTTTGCAGGATATGTGGACCTTTTCTTTCTCTCTCTAGCTTTCTCTTCCTCTCTCATTTTCATTTTATCCGTCCGTGTCCCTCCTTGCCAATGTAGTAATACCGGTGGTGGTAGTGGTGGGTGCGTTGCGCTTCAGCCAGGGGGTGGCTTTGACGTTGGCTCCGAGGAGGGGTGCAGAAGGTGTTCGATCGACCCACGTACCCGCGGTGGTCCCCGCGCTCTCACTGCGACAGAGTTCAGTCAGTCGGTCGGACTCTTCCACCGTGGATACGCGCGCGCATCCATGCACAATTTATCAACCCTTGGCAAAAAAAAACATATACGTATATATACTTATACATATATCTATATGCATATATAACACACGCCAATAGGAACTATTACTCTTAATATATAGAATTATTATACGAGAGGAAACAATTTTGTATTCTTTGTCGTTTTTTTTTCGTGTAAAAGAAAAGAGGTAGTAAAAAAAAATGTTTGTTTAGATTTACAAATTTTGATTAAAACAAAAAGAAAAGAAAAAAAAGGAAAGTTTAAGACTTTTTGTCATATTATCGTATATCTTTGAGTTAGCTGTTTTTACATATAAAAAGAAAAGGATTTTTGAGAATCAAGAGAATCGGGCACATGGGTACTGACTGACGCACGAGGGATGCGGAAGGCATGGGTGACGTTTCAAACTGGGTCAGTCTTTGTTGACATTATTCAAATTATAAAATATATGCGCATTGAACTCTTTTTCTTCTTCTTCTTCTTCTTCTTCTACTCTTCTTATTTTCTTTCGTTTTATATCGTTTCATATAATGTTAATATTTATCAACACCTATGAAACCTCCTATAGAATTTGACACGCTGAAGACTTAATCCACTGCCTTCAAACACAATCAACTAATCTCTCATAATCTCCTTTTAGTATATAACTACACATACATTAAATCCACTTATAGGATTGTATCATTTATCTAGAATTTCCTAATCTTTTTTAATGTATTTTATGGTCTAAAGTTTAATGAAAAATTTTAAAGTATAAAAATATGTATATAGAATTTTATTTCATTAATTATTTTCATTTATAACAAGTTTTTATTATTACTTGAAACTTAAATAAGTGTGTCTTCTAAGTTCATTTTATATAATAAAAATATATTGTACATTATATAAACACTGTATGTGCATGTAAAATTTGATTTTACATATAAGATTAATTTTAAGATACTGTATAAATTTGAAAAATATTCTAGTAACTGATATTTTTTCGTTGTATTTGTATCAATTAAAATTCTATTAATTGTTAACGAATTAACTGTTAAAATTGATTTGTAAGTATCGCGAATCCTCAGATCGTTTCTATGCTGATTTAGTCGTAAATCATGCATTTTTTATAAGCTTTTTTAAACTTGTTATCTATCAAAATAATCTACATTCTACATTGTGTTATTAAAGTTTGCGTGTAGTAGTCTGTGTTTCTCGCCTATCACCCTTATTTTTCTTATCGGTACACGCTATACTTTCATTCTCATTTTTTTTTCTAACACAGTAAATAATCGTCTTTCTTTATAAGTGCTGACCACTTTGAAAGAAATCTTTGTTACCAATTTAAGTCGTTCTGTGTTTCTAATCGTTTTGATTCATTTACTAAGTAGAAATTGAATGATTATCGCACGATTTTCAATAAATATTTGTATACATCGCATTAGAATCTATGATTTTTTCTGATATCATGAAAATAATGAATAGTATTGTCATAATATTTTGTTTTACAAATGAAAAATATTATAGGATCTATATAAAATAGTTTTTACATTTATTCAGGTCTATCTTAAAATTGTAAAAACTAATATAATTATTATAATATTAGTATTAAAAAAAACATGAAGAAAGATCTTAAATTTTATTATAATATTAATATATTATTTTTGTTGAGTCAGCAAAGTACATTGAAATTGTAAAAATTAGAACATTTATGTAATTATAAAAAAGAAAAATTACTTGTATATATACATTAAGCAAAGAATTATACATAACTATAGAGATAAATATTTAAAAAAAAAGGTCACATAACAATATGTTCGTATCAAAAGAGTAAAGAAAAAATATTATTCAGCTAGAAAAACGTGTATAAATATTAATAGAGATCGGTTCATGTTCGTTTTTCAAAAATCATCAAAAATAATTACATTAAAGTATTCAAATTGATTGACTACTCTATATGGTATATAACGAGAAGACGCGTTGGAATAACTTTGTCGCATTGAAGTTAGCAGGAAACGAGAATTTCGTTAGCTCAAACATATTGATCTTGATTTCGAGCGTCGTCATTTGTTGTTGTCACTATACGATCTCTCGTTGATTGCGTATTCTCTTTTCCATAGGATACGGATAAATTGAAAAAGTGTATGAGACAGAAAGAGAGAAAGAGAAGAAAAGAGAGAGAAAGAGAAGAAAAGAGAGAGAAAAAAAATACAAAAAAAAAATTTTAAAAAGCAGTAAATAAATTGAGATCACGAAGCAGGTAGATGAAGGGTTCTTTGATTGCTTAAAAGGTGGTAGAGTGAAAAGAAGAGGTAAAGAAAAGAAAAGTGGTCATAACACGTTTCACATACACACATGTACACTTAAATACACACTCATATACATATACTGATAGACAAACAGGCAAACGGAAAATTACACGCTTATGAACTCATACACCCACGTATAGTTGGGGTTGATCTTACGAAGACTTCGAAACAACAGCTCAGGAAAATCAGGAAAGAAAACAATATACACGCCGGCTGAAGAGCAAACACATTTTCTATACCGTTTTATCGCGTTCAAATAATCGTGACGTGCATAGACGCGATCATGCATCTATTCAATGTACACAAACATAAGCGTAAGTACACGTTTCCTATTCTGTAGCCTGAATTTCACGAGAAATCGAGTTTAATCGTTCCCGTAAACTTCGTCCTTTTTCGTTTTCTTATTCTTCGGGTTTTTTTGTTTTTAAAGCGATCAATATTCAAATTTACTTTCGTTAGAAATTTATAATTTGTTTTAGAAAGAAATCAGTGAATAAATTAATGAAGTTAATGATAATTATACGTTTTTTTTTTTTTTAATACAATTTCCTGAAAAGATATCTTTTTTCTTCATTAATTCAATTTTATGTAATGAATATTAAAAACACTTGTTCCGATGAATTTTAATTACTGTTAATGAAAATAAATAAATGATTAAGTAAGTTCTAGTAAATGTTCGTATCGTTTTATGCAACAAAATATCGTACATTTAGTGGAATAAATTGAACGTATATGTGTTTTTAAATTTATTTGATAAAAAGAAAAAAAAAGTTTCTTTAATTTTCTTGATGAGAAAAGTGAGATGGAACATTTTTGCGTTTAAATAAATGAATATAAAAATTATTGTTCGAATTTAATACACGTCTTTCTAGAGCTTTGAAACACTTGGAATTCTTCGTGTAAAGGGTATGTAACACACACACATACATACACATACACATATGTATATCTATAGATGCTTGTCTACAATGTGTTATCTACAAACGATGGATCGCATCTTTGGAGTAGGCATATCGAGATTCCTTTAGAAAATTGATCGTTTAGAATGGCATTCACTGTACATTCCTTATATGTATGTATGGAAGTACGTTCATACTCGCTAACTTCATAAAAATTGACAGTCTTGCGTTGGTGATCAATAGAAGAAAAACTAGAGACTTCGTGACCTTTGTAATCAGTGATTCCAGAAACTTTTGCTTGTCTGATCGACACAGTGCCGTAAAATTATCGGGTTCTCATAAAAATTATCGTACACACAGAAAAATCAGATCCGATTTTCTGAAAATTCCAGATTTTCCAGATTTTAGGATTTTAGGATTTAGTGCGCTCCAGTGCGCTGCAACCGAATCGCGTAACAAAAACAAAATCAAGACATATCGAAAATTATATTTAAATATCGAATAATCGTAAATTATCGTACAAGTTGGATTTTGGATCGTACAAGGCTTCAAATTATGTGACGTATACGATAATTATCGCACGAATGGGATCACTGCCAATAAAACACAAGAGAGCGCTCACTCCGACAGTAGTGCTGTCTCTATGTTCTTTTATTACTATACCCCCTAGATCTCCATATTGCAAACGTGGGTATACCCCACAAAGTTTTATTTTTGACCACACTGCTTATGGAATTATCGATTAAAGTTAATCGAAATAAATTGAAATAGCCAACCTAGTGTCTTCCAGTTTTTTTTTAATATTATTAAAATAATATAAATGCATTTATAAAATTAAAATTCATTGCATGAAATATACATATTTTTAATCTCTGTCGCATAGTCCATAACTTAGTTACTTTTTTCATCCTTGCTATCTGAGTAACGTGATTGGTTTATTCCGTTATAAAAAATATACATGCTCGTATCGATTGGATGTTTCAAATAGTACCATAGAAAATAACCAATAGCTGTAAATATTTAAAATTAAATAATCAACAGCTTAGAATTCGTTCTTTTTAATGAGAATCACCCGACAGTTACGTGTAGACTGTTATTCAATGTTATCTATTGGTTAATGATTGTAATTGTGCATAAAACATCAGTTTGGGATAAATTAAGAAATATTATGTTATTATAGTTTTATAGTGATATTCATTGAAATGCTATTTTAACGATGAAAAATGTTACGGATTCATTTTTCTAATTAACAACAATTAGTAAAAGTTGGAATTTTGACGTCGTGGTGCGTGTCATGATTTTGCTCTTGTAAACATTACTCTGAGAGGCTCAGAAAAATATTTCCTTTTTTATATATATATATAAAATATATACAGTATATATATACATATATTACACATCAGGGAAATAGTCAAGTTTTGTTGACGTTTTTTCAATCGATANATATATACTTTTTTTACTATAATCTTTCTTGTAATATTCCGTTTCGTTTCGTTTCGTTTCGAGAAATAAAATATTACTGCAGTGGGTAGGGAAACAAAAAAAAGTCACGAGAGACATTTCTTTGAAATCAGATATTTATTATTGTGTACAACTTTTAATATATATTTTTTTGTTTTATTTTTATAATCAGTTTGGAACAAAAAAATGTTTTTTTTTCAAATATGTATATATTTATATCTCGTTAAAAAGTAAGATCCTTTTTAATTTCATTTTTTTTCTTTCCTTGAATTTTCTTTTTTTTCTATATTGAAAACTGGATTATTTTCAAGATTTGTATTGCATGTATATAATACAACCGTTTACGTTTATCCATTTTATATTCCACGCTACGGAAACATCATTATAGTCGTGTTTTTTTTATTACGCTAGGCTAACCTTTTCCAAACTTTTATCTAGAGTTCGATCTTTTTATTTAGCGAAATGTTTAAAAGTTTTTTCCGATTATAGGTAAAACGAGAAATAAATAAGAAAAAGAATAAAAATAAATACAAAAGCAAATAAGTAAGTAAATAAATAAGATCAACGTTTTTTTTCTTGAAACAATTTTTCTAGTGCGTGACGTAAGTTACAGAGACTAAAAAAAGAAATACAAATAAAAAGATAAAAAATAAAGAAAAGAACATAACGAGAAAGGAATAAAAAGAAAGAATTCTTCGTAATATTATTTTTACGCTTGGAAGCTTGTTATTTCATTCGTGAGATAGTGCAAGCTAAAAGGAGTCGGTCATTTAAGAAAGTAGAATAATTTATTTCCTTTCATTGCTTTTATAATGTACTTTTCTGATAAAATTCAAATTCCATTTATAATTAATAAACTAACTCGGAAGTAATAAGAGTGAAAAAGAGTGCTTTTTACACTTAGTTTTTTAATAATATCTACTAATTGTAAGTAAAGATTGGCTCCGTGTTGAACAGTCAGCGAACTGTAAAATGAACTAATGAAGAAAAGAGCATACGAACACTCAACACGCGATTAAATTTATCTATCCATTGTATAAATGTTAATTCGAATTCGTTGCCTCGGAAGATAAACAGTCAAATTTGATTAATTTAAACGTTCGACTGAATTCCGAATATTATTGATTTTATTGTTTTATTAAATCAGTTATAAGAAAATCAATGTTTTGTTTTAATTATTATTCAAAATAAAATAAATGTATTTTAGTATTACAGGAATAAACTTAGTTAGGTTGCTTTGGTATTCGATCATTTTTATATGAAAATAAATGAGTTTTTTAATACACTCAGGTTTACTCGTTTAATTGGAACACCTAAAGGAAATGAAAGAGTATTTTTCGAAGAATGGACGTTGAATTATTCCGTGACCTTTATTCGTTTGAAACGTATAAAGGTCTATGGTCATTATCTTATCTCGCGAATTTCTACTCGTTTGTTACGTGTTGCCTCATGAAGGAATTCCGAGCAATCAGCAAGCGTTAAAGCTCGAATGACGTTGAATACTCAGAACGACTCGATTGCAAGAAACGAATCTCTGGATATCCGTGTATTCATGTCTATTAAATTAAAAACCCACGCTAAAATCTATCGAGTACTAACGATGACGAATGTATCCTGATTCTTTGTCTAGGCAATATGTTTCTTCCTCCAGTAGTGCTCACAGAGCTTGCTGAAATAGAAGAGATCCACGGTTTTACTAATTATTAAATTACAATATACTTTGGTTATCTAAAATTTGGATATCTTCACGAGTCAAGAAAAAGAAAAAGAAGAAGAAGACGAAGACGAAGAAAAGAATTTAACTGTGAAGATGAGGATAGCTACGAAGTTACGAGTCAACATTCTTCTTGGCTGGATCTTTTATTTTTTTACGTTTCTTCTACTTCCTGCACGAATAAGTAAGTATTTTTGATAATATTAACAAATATTATAGGAAATATGCTTCAATACGAGAGTCAGTTGAAAAATTTAGAGCCTAAACCAAACAAAAAATTGTATTATTTTTTAAATAGAACTCGTTTCTGTTCTTTTGGCTTAAAAATTTTTCAATTTACCCACGTATAATCATTAGGACATACAGGGTAGGGCAATATCTCTGTTTCGTTAGAATATTGTCGTTGTTTATAACAATATGAAAAATTTTATATACGCAACTTACACGGCATGATGAAGGGCATTTTTTGGCTTGAACGTTTTTTGCATGGGTGGAGGCATAAAGTAGATTTCAAGGTTACCTGCATTTTTTAAATGAATATTATATTTTTTTTTAATGGGATGTAATGGCAAATGTTGAGACGAATTGAACGAGCTATTATTCAACGTCATGCGAGGTCAAATGTGGTAGAAAATAAAGTTTCTTACATTACAGAAGATGTTCGAAGTCGTGTCTATTAACGCCAATGCAAATTTGTAATCTTCGTATTGCTGCATCGCTTACATGTCTTTTCATTTCTAATCTTATGCTATTACATGTTGCAACTATTCTTTCTTTCATGTTTTCTGGTGAAGTTGGTGCTTCTTGGTAAACCGCATTTTTCAATGCTCCCCATAGAAAAAAATCTAATGGGGTTAAATCGGGAGAGCGAACCGGCCAAGAAACTACTCCTCCACGTCCTATCCATTTATTTGGGTAAAGTCCATTCAATGCATCTCTTACACTCCGCGCATAATGTGCTGGACATCCATCCTGCTGTAACCACATCATTTAACGAACGTTTAGTGGTACATTTTCAAATAAAGTCCCCAATTGATAGTTGCAACATGTAATAGCATAAGATTAGAAATGATAAGACATGTAAGCGATGCAGCAATACGAAGATTACAAATTTGCATTGGCGTTAACAGACACGTCTTCGAACATCTTCTGTAATGTAAGAAACTTTATTTTCTACCACATT